AAAAAATTAATGCTTCCAACCTTAAAAAAACATGTGGCATTTGTTGGTTGGCTAAAAAGTTTGATCGCCTGACCATTAACTTTAACAAAACTTGGTTATATATGAAATTGGATGGAAGGTCTAACTTTTGAAATCACAGGATTCAAAGTGATAGAAATCAAAACCAAAAAACATAATGTATTAATTAGCAATGCAATTGGTGCACTAGCTAGCTAGTTCCATTAGTTTAGTAGATATAGTATAATTGCTAAATAATAGAGAAATTTATATCAATTGATATTAGTGGAATTGCAAGAGTAACTTTTTCTCATCAATAAACGGTTTTACTTCATTCAATTACGAGATTAATTCATTCTAAGCATTGAAATAAGTCAAATAATAGACTAGGTAATTTAATTAGTCAACTAGTGGAACTCCAAGTGATGGTCAAGTTGGCTAGTTGTACATTAATTGGGCAATTAGTCAATTAAGCAAAACACAAGAAAAAAGTACATAAAAGTTCATTTTTATAATTGAAAGACCCATTCGTAAATCTATTTTAAATTCTACTCTAACATGGATCCGATGCGATCCTTTCATTTGTGTGTAGATATAAAAGTCATGTAGCTAGTGAGTATGACACGTCTATTCTATGTACTATATTAAAGATAAAAAAGTTCTACCATATTTTTTAAAGATTAATAAGTGCAAATGTTTTTTTTTTCTCAAGAAATTTCAGTTTGTTACTTTCATAAAACAATTTTATAGTTTCCATGTCTGTTGTTATTATTATTATTATTGTAAAAATATTTCTTCATAAAAAATTAATAAAAAAACATGTTTATTGCATACAAATTTTGCAAAAAAGAAAACAAAGGTAGTGTTTGGTTTATATTCAAAACAAAGAAATAGACGTAAAACTTTTAATTGAACTAAACAAAACCCTTATTTTTTAATAGTTGAAAACTCCAAAAACATCTCTTTGGTGTTTTCTAGCTTTTTAGAGACTTGGAGAAATAGAAACACAATATTTTGAGAAAATAATTTTTTTTTTAATTTATTCATTTGAATGCACCAGACCTATATAAAAAAAATACGTTCTTAAAATTATTTGAAAAGGGCACTTAATTTTAATTGGCGTGCTAATTGATATAAGAATACACTCTTGATCGTAGAACTAATTTTTTTAATAAAAAATATATATAATATAGCTAAATATATAGGATGATGATTCATTGCATGATTGGTTGGTCCATAAACTAGAATGGTTAGTCAACGGGTCTCTAGATAATGCTAGATCTTGTTTACACCTTAGGTGAGAGGTGGTCAAAATTAGCTCATCATCTTTCATTTAGTGATCGAATTAATCCCTTAAGTCGATTTTTTTCTCAAATAAGATACTTTCTAATCTTCCAAAACAAAATACTTCAAATCTTATTTATTGAAAAAAAGATATTTTTTATCATATCGGCATCTATATCATTTTTTTTTTAATTGAATAAATTAAAATATTTAAATATTACAAAGAACAAATCAAAACTCCACCATCATTTCCAATCTCTAACAACATGAAATCTTTATGGTAAACTGTAAAATATTTTTATTGAAAAATGGTTAATAGATGGGTTAAAATAGATCCAAATATATAGAACCATGGATTTTCATGTTTTGTCATCCTAAAATTATGCATCATGGTGTCATAAACTAAATAAAGTGTAAATTAATCCAAAATAACCCACCAAACATCATGTTCATCAACTAAAAATCTTGCAAATTGAATGGAAAAATCAACCCATTTCAAAGGAATCTTAATCTTCAATAATCTTTCATGATAAATCCCAGTCAATCTACGTCTTTCATAACCATTTCAATTTTCTAAAAACATTTTATAAATATATCATTTCTTTTTCTACTTGATACCAATCAAAATTTAATTTCTTTGAATAAAACTGTATTCGAAAGAAGATAGCATAAGTATATATCTAGAGAACACCCATGAATCAAATTAATGATTAACAACACTAGGTGATCATGAAAAAAAAAAAAAAATCAAAGGCATGCTACTCTTGATTGAAATAAAAATTAATTAGAAAACGAGGATGTCATTGTTATGAACTAAAAAAAAATCGACAAAACTAAAAATGTTCAATCGGTCTTCTTGATCAATTTTTTTTTTTTTTGACTGAAATGCTCTTTATTAAAATGATATATATATATATATATATATATAACACTTAAAGTTGCATGACTTACATGTTTCATTTTTTAAGTCCTTAAAATTTTATTTTTTTATTTTTGCATTTCAATCGAAACATTTTCGTTAAAAATTATTTGGTCAAAAAAATTAATCGGAATAACATATTGAACATTTCAAATACCTTTAAAAACAAATAAAATACAATTAAAAGCTTAAACACATATGAAAATTTTTTAGTATTATATAAGAATAGATTGTTATATTGACCCTTATTATTATTATTATTCAATTCATGAAAAGAGAAGAAAAAGAAAAATATTAATGACATGTAAAATTGATATATATATATATATATATATATATATATATATATATATATATATATATATATATATATATATATATATATATATATATATATATATGTTAGTTGTGAAATTTCAAATGAATTTGCTCATAAGTAAAACTCAATATCAATTCATTTACTCTGCAGGGTATGTACTCGATCGTTAGCTTTGACGATTGAGTTTAATAAGTCTTTGGGGAACCACGAAACTAATTCACAAGGACCTCGACTCGATTGTTTGCTAAAAAAATTATTTGATCAGAAAAATCAATCGAAATAATATATTGAATATTTGAAATACCTTTAAAGACAAATAGAATGCAATTAAAAACTTAAAGACATATAAATTAAATTTTAGTATTATATATATAAGAATAGATTGTTATATTGACCCTTATTATTATTATTATTCAATTCATGAAAAGAAAATTATTTTTATGAAAAAGAAAAATATCAATGACATGTAAAGTTAATTCATTTTATGAAAGCCTATACATATTTTTTCTCTCTTTCAAATACCTACAAGTTTACACACACATATATATATATATATAAAAGTTTATTTATGAAATTTCAAATGAGTTTGCTCATAAGCAAGCTGGACTAAGTAAAACCCAATCGCAGTTCATTTACTATGCAAGATATGTACTCGATGATTAGCTTTGAGGATTGCGTTTAGTCGAGTTTTTAGGGAACCACGAAACTAATTCGTGAGCACCTCGACTCGATCGTTTACAGCCCACCATAAAATCTAGCAAAATGTTGAATTAGGAAAAGAAAAGTAATAAAAAAATTATTATACAATCCTAGCATTTATTGAAACTCAAGGATCGGAATTTAACCAACATGATATGATATATTATGTTAATAATGAATTATAAATGAAGATTATGTTTTATAGCCCATATATTTGCATAAGTGATCTGAGTAAATATGAAGGATTGATTTTCTTTTAGCACAAGTGGGCTAGGCGGCTAGCTAGCTAGACTGACAGACACAACTTAGTAGTTCTGTAATGAAAGAGTCGTCTCCACAATATTAATAAAAGGTTTAATGGTTGTAGAAGTTCCTTTATTTTTCAGTTTGTTTTTATCATGTTCTTCTATATATATATATATATATATATATTCATCTCTTTATGTTTGATTTCCATTTCTGTCATAATTTCGTTCTTCCATCAACTTTTAAACTAACAATATTAATTTTATTTTTTTCTATTTTAATCTCATTCTTCTATTCTATTTTTTTATCTTTATCTTATTTTTATTGAATTTAAATAAATAAATTTTGAAAAAAATAGAAAAATGTGAAGATATGTTTAGTCATTCTCTCTAAAAATTATAAACAAAAAAATGAAGATAAAAATATTTTTATCCAAAATATCTTTTATGGGCTTAAATCTGTCTTTATGATAATAACTAAATTTTGAGTGTAAAATAAAATGTGTTGTATTTTTTTTAATGTGTCTCTATGAAAGTAATTAAGCCAAGTTTGAATATAAAATGAAATATTTATAGTATTTTTTAAAAAAAATATGAAGAAAATTTTAGTTAAATTTTTAAAATTAAGAAATTTGTAAAATCAAAATAAATAAATTATAGTAGACTCTTTTGAGGTATTATAAAATTATAAATACCATTCAAAAGTTTAAAAATTAACAAAAACTCTCTTCATATTAAAAAACAAAATACTATAAATATTTCTTTTATACTTGAAATTTTATTACTCATAGAGATAAATTTAAACCAATAAAAGATATTTTTTGGATAAAAGTTATTTTTAACTTTATATTTTTATTTTTTAGACAAATGATTGGGTATGTGTTTATTTTCTTTTCCAATTTTTATTTTATTTTTCAAAATTTACTTATTTAAATTTGGTAAAAAAAAACAAAGTTCAGACAAAAAAATAGATAGATGGATGAGATTAAGACAAAATAATAATAATAATAATAATAATAATGTTGTTAGCCCAAAAATTATTAAAAAGACAAGGTCAAAATAGAAACTAAATATAAATAAATAAATTTAGGACCAAAAAAGATAGAGAGACTTTGCAACCATTAACCAGTTAATGAAAAGAGATTGTGTTAAACAAGTGGAACAACATGCAATGTCTTAGCTTAGGAATAAGTTCATTAGTTAAGCTTTGAAAAACTGAAATATCCGCAGTTAATAATCTAAAAAGAAACTTTTCCAGCAGAGCCACTTCCTGTTCTTAAATTAATAACAGCTCCGAAGAAAATTTTACAGCAGAGCCTACTTCGTATTCTTATAAATATAGGCTAGTGAAGATGCTCTCCAAAAGCAGTTCATTCTCAAGCAGCTCTCTCTCTCTCTTTCCCAAATAATTTTGGAAGAAAAGGAAAAGGTCTTCAAAAGGTTCATTTTAAGCCTTGAGTTGAGCTCTGATATTAGCTTGGAAATCACCACTCCTGTCCTTAGTTTAGGTAAAGTAGCCAGTCCGTCCACTTAGCCAATGGAGATGGATCAGCCAACTATTCAACAGAAAGCCAGGCATTTTACACGTGCATGGGGCTGGGTCAAGGCGTTGCCTGGTGAGTCCAAGGCCAAGGCTATCAAAGTTGCAAAAAGTACACAAAAACTTGGAGAAGATGACCCAAGAAGAGTCATTCACTCCCTAAAAGTGGGATTGGCTCTCACATTGGTGTCCTTGTTGTATTATTCTAGACCTCTCTATGATGGTTTTGGGGTGGCAGGAATGTGGGCTGTGATAACCGTGATTGTAATGTTCGAGTTCACCCTAGGTAATTAGTTATACTAAAAAGAATTGGCTAGCTGGCTATTTGCCTATTTGAGTTCAGGACACACTAAAAGTCAACAAGTTTGAAATAGTGATAATGTATTTATTGGTATGCTGTGCAGGTGGAACTTTAAGCAAGGGTTTGAATAGAGGCTTTGCAACATTACTTGCCGGTGCTCTAGGGCTTGGAGCTCAACACTTGGCCAGTCTTTTTGGAAGGAAAGGACAGCCCGTTGTCCTTGGAATTCTTGTTTTTCTATTAGGTATGTTTACACAGAAAAGCAATATGGTACTGATTTGCTGATTGTCATTTCTTACACGAGAAGTAATTTGAATCTCTAAGTGCCTGCTAAGTCAGCAGGATAGTTAAGAGGTCTATTGATACTCCGTGCAGCCTAATCAAAAGCTAGTTAATTTGTGTATATGTAGCTGCAGCATCTACATTCACGAGGTTCTTCCCACGAATCAAGGCAAGATATGACTATGGAGTCGTGATATTTATACTAACATTCAGTTTAGTATCTGTGTCGGGGTATCGAGTTGAAGAACTCTTGGTACTGGCACATCAAAGGTTGTCGACAGTACTAATAGGTGGAGCAACCTGCATAGTCATATCCATGTTCATTTGCCCAGTTTGGGCCGGTGAAGATCTTCATAAGTTGATTGCTTCCAATATAGAAGAGCTTGCAAAATACCTAGAAGGTATCACTTGTAACTTGAAAATCATAATCTTTATTTTGTTTGTTAACTTCAACTGGATACTAGCTAGGTAACTAAAAAGTAGGGATTATCCACAGGCTTTGGAGGTGAATATTTTCAGCCCGTGGAGGATGGAAGGAACGTTAAGGTCTCCAATACTGATAAATCATTTCTTCAAGGATATAAAAATGTCCTTAACTCAAAATCCATTGAAGAATCCATGGTACAGGCTCTTTCTATGTGCTTTCCCACTAACATGCATTTTAGCCTTTGCATGAGCGCCACTATCTTCAATCCATGTTATCATCTGTTGGCTATGAGATGGAATATTTAACGAATGGTCTTAAACTTGATGCAGGCAAATTTTGCAAGATGGGAACCTAGACATGGCCGCTTTGGTTTCCGGCATCCCTGGAAACAATATTTGAAGGTCGGAGCCCTCTCACGGCAATGCGCCTACCAGATTGAAGCTCTTAATGGCTACATCAACTCTGATAACCAAGTAATATATTAATATCACAGCATACTCTCTGTCTACATGCGTGGGAAAAAAATAAAATTTTTACCTGAAACATTCCAAACTTCCTCCAATTCTTTTTTAAGCTTTTCCGGCCAGTTTTAGATTGTGCCATTTTTAACTAGAAGAACAAATTAGATCTCAACATCTCATGATTCCATCATCCTAAGGCCACCGAATATCGTTGACTTTCTTCTTTTCTATATTTCCTTCTATTAATAGTTCAATGCATGAGTATGCACACCATCCAAAGTGTTTTGATGAAATCACTTGACAAAGCTCTTTTAAGATGGTTTTCCAAGTAAAGTATTTTCATAAGCAGTAACCTTTCTATCAGAAAAAAACTAATTTAAGAACCTCGCCTTTTTATATCTGATAAATGGTTAATGTAAAAGGCTGAAACATATTATGCTACTCTTTGCAGGCACGACTAGAATTCCGATGCAAAATCCAAGAACCATGTACAAAGATGAGTACAGAATGCGGTAAGGCACTGAAATCATTGGCCTCGGCTATCAAAACCATGACTGTTCCATCCTCACCAAATGTCCATGTGGAGAACTCCAAAACTGCCGTCAATGACTTCAAAATTGCTCTTAAAACTGTCTCGTTGGAGCAGGATCAAGACATTTTAGCAATTATACCAGCTGCGACAGTTGCTTCAATACTAATTGAGATAGTTAAATGCGTGGAAAGAATATCCGAATCAGTACATGAACTCTCTAATCTAGCACACTTCAAGAGTGAGGAACCCACTGTGTCACCAGACAAATCGCAATTTCTTCGCCGGGGAAGCATAAAACCTGTTTTAGAAGGTGACACTGACCATTTTATTATTACAATACATGGGAAATCTGCAGATTCACGAGAAAGTGAGAATCCTCAGGCTCCCAAGCTTGGCCAGCGTTTGGATGTGTAAATATTTTTCACTAACATGCATGTAATTTAGTGTGACGGATAATACCAAAAAAGAAAAAAAAAAACAAATTAGTGTGACCGAAATTAATATTACTAACAAAATATTTTCCTATTACTTGTGTATTAATTCCTTTGTGTCGAGTTCTGGTAATGAAATTGAAATAACAGAAGGAAATTGAGAAAGTATTGTTCTTTTTCTTCAGCTGTGCAAGTATTGTCTGTTTCATTTAGAGAACCTTTTTTTTTTTTTTGACAATAAGGATACTTTTCAAGTATCGAAACTATCACTCAGATTTAGTTCTAAACAAACTTTTCCTATCCAAACTGATACTTCAACGAAAAATTATCTTTTACATACAGCGTCCATTGGATTCAATTTAAATCACCAACGCATGGTCGAAATAAATTTGATATTGTCATATATATATATTCTTTTCCAAACCCAAAAACGTAACCAGGAGATTTTTTTTTAAAAAAAAAAAACCATTGACAGTAAACGATCTAGCAGAACCAGAAAAGCACAAATTTGGGATAAGTTCTGCTTCTTAAGGTGACAGGAGCAGGACTCAAACTTAATATAGACGTTTCTGACGTATCTTCCTTTCTCCCTTGCTTTGCAGGGCCGAGAGCACTACAAGTCCTGGATAGGTATTACGTTCAATCTAGGGCTATTTGTGCTGGTCGATACTCGATAGATATGGACCGAGTAGGAGCTAGACAGTAAATGAAGCACTCGCTAGACCAATTATTAGGGGAAAGGGATCCCGAGTCTTAGTTCTGCTCAACAAAGACGAGCATACAAAACAGGAAAGCACAAAAACAAATGGGATTTCACATCAAAATTTGAGTTGTTTCCCACTATTCAAGACCAAGTGGATCGATGTTATTGCATGAAGATTTGGATTTTCTGAGCCAAACTGAGTTTCTGTTCAATTAACAAGACCTTAACAGAACCTAGAAGTTTAGCCGAGCCCATCAAGTTGTACTTGTACATACTCAAACTTTTGGCCTCCTTGGCCAGATTCAAGGTGAATGGAATATATATCGACAAAAGGTCATGGACACGACGGGCTGTTCTAATTTGAATTTAACTGTCAATTCTCTAGAAGAAATATTTGAAGAGAAACAATTTCTTGCTGTTCTTAATGTAATAAAATCATCTATAATTTCATAATAACCTCAACTAAACTAAATTAATTAAAGAAACAACATGAATTCAAATTCATGAACTAGTTAGATAGACGTCCCAACAGACAAGCGGAGGAGTACAAGCTTCTTAGGTTCTTTATTCTATCAACGGAAACAATTGTATTGAAGTCATGTTTACACCGACTGTGTCTGAACATACAATACGGAAGTTAACAAGAACAAAAAAAAAAAAAGGAACAAAGTGTGTCCACTCTGCTACAAAATGGCTAAAACTACAAATTCCGACCACAAAATTTTATTCTATGCTAGGTACATCAGCATACACGTGCATCTGACATAAAATCTAAGTGCTTCATTCCATTTCCCTATGATTATAAGATTCCATTGCATCCAATGATGCACAAGATATATATAAATAAGTTTAAACTAATGAACACAAAGAATATAAATTTATTTATGGTTATTAGTAACATATAATCCACACCCCTTTCGATCTCTCTTGTTTTGTCCCTAACTTTCCTTCCTTCAAAAGCAAAGGTCCTTAGCTAGTTTCCTTTGATGACATAAACAAGGTCCACCATTCAGAACCATACACTTTATTCCACTTAAGGAAAAAAAGGTCGGGCACCCAGACAACACTTACAAAAAAAAAACAGTACAGATTGCAGAATCGCATAGAATATACGCATTAAGCACATTAAAATATCGCTAAAGCATGTGACTAAAGTAGCATATGCTTGAAAATTGACTAGGGTTCATATAAGTGAAACAACAATAGTGGCCGCAATCCCAATTTGAGCCACATTGGAATGCTGAACATTCCTCTGCGCATCAGGGTTTTCAGTCTTTAAAAAGTTCAGCAGAGGAAGAATCAAATTAGATCATCTAAACAGAATATAATATGGATCTAAATGGTTGTTTCTCTTCTGTCTCCCATTGAAACAATTAGAATGAGCGATGGCTGCAATCCCATAGCCTAACCGCACTCAAAAGCGGGGAACTTTTTACAGCGATCGCATCCATCAATATAACAAGACCAACTTAAAGGAAATAGATTCATGCATGACCAAACAAAATTATCAAGAAGGAAATCTGAACAGGAAGGTGACTGGTCAATATGTAATTCGCTTGTACCCCTTTTTAAGTATTTCATAATATTCAGCTACAGGTTACATACACCATACATGATGTACAGATTGTATCTCTTTTGGCTAAAGTATGTTCACAAAATATTAACACTAAAAAAAATTCTCATCCACAGTCCTCGGAATTCTGCACTTATAACCACTAATGATACGAATCCGGGATCAAGTGGCTGCAAGTAATAACTATTATATCGAAGCATCAGCCAACTTTCTTTGACTAATCTTTTCTACTGGTTGTATTATCTTCATTGAACAGAAGACCATTAGTACCAATTAATGATCATATATAAGTAGATTCCCCAACAGAGATTGGAAATTCTAGTAAATTCATTACAAGAGTGCCCTATCCTTTTCATATTTGTTATAGGCTCCACTATCAGATGAAGAGTCAATAACGGGAAATGGGGATCACATGCTAAAATGAGAATCACCTGTCATTGTGAACCCAACTAAATTAATTTTACTGGCAAGTACATTCATGAAATTGTAAGAACGCACATGAAGCACACAAACAGCAAAGTGAGTGGCCAGCAATACGTTGTCTTCTTGAATCAAATTCACGATTTTCTTTCCAAAATTTTCCGATTGAAACAACTTTTATGATGATGAACATGAGAAGCTTAGGGTCAATCAACCTGGAGTCTCCATGCATTCGACAAGCGAACTGCAGTTTGCGTCAGAAACAAAGATATGCACAAGTGTCTATTAAGAAATGGAGCAGACGCTACCTCATGCAACACTAAAAAAAGGCATGGGAAACTAGTGGTGTCTCACTCCCCTCAAAATGCTCAAGAAAACAGATGGCACGGACTGCTGCTTGATGTCAAAACTATTAGCATATGCTCACAACAGTCCAAAGACAAATTGACTTGACATAAATAAATGAAAAAGATTGACGAAGTTAACCAAAATCATCCTACTCTTATCAAAAGATTCTTCATGAATTCATAAAACAATTATAGGCACAAGTAAATCAGATTCATATGATCCACATGATTCACTCACTCTTTGAGTGAGATTAATATTCAGCAAAGTTAGAAATTAGTCAGTTGACCAGATCTTGTTTGCGGCTGGGCAGCGTTGAAGCTCTACTAAATTTTAAAACTAGAAACCCGTAAGGAAAAAACAAAGAAATTTTGTACCTTTCTGGTTTTTTGAAAACGAAAACCGAAGTTTAATTCATAACTATGAATGTATCTTCTCTTTTTATGGAGATAAATCAGCTAACTCTCCTATCATCTTACCATGAATAAACTTTATTTTCATGAGGATATTTTCTCAACCATCCAACCTTCAGAAAACCAAATCCGGAATACCAGGATCTCATTGAAACTTTAAAATTCCCCTATCCAAACATGGCGCCACCTTACTTTTGAGATGAGCAATGAATATCAACAAACATAGCAACAATAAAAAGGTTTCAGCCGCAACATTCAATACAAACAACCAATCACTGGATAATGGTTACAAAATAATTTAAGTAGCTGATCTTATAAATAAAAAGAAAAAAAAAAAAAAAAGAATCTCTCTATACCCCGATGGGAGAAATATCTACTTCCAATCATAGGAACATGAACTATAGAAAGTGGAGTATCAAAATAAGCAAAAGCGAAAGAAACATAAGAAATCAAACAACAGAATAGACCACAAAGAAATGCCCAAAATGAACTTCCAACTTGAGTGACATTTATCATTGATACTTTATAACATAAAAGCACGGTTTAATTGCACTGGGAATCACTATATATTTAAGCATATACTTGTATCGATTGACAAGAAATAGCTGGAAATCACTGTATACTTAAGCATCTACTTGCATCTATTGACAAAAAATAAAAACAAAATTTGAAGGTGGCTGTTGAAACTCGTATGCTTAAGATATAAATACATCAGTAATGAAAGAAAAATTCCTTCCTACTAGCAAATTTAGAATGCCCTTACATACATTGTGTGATCACTATACACAAGATTTGCAATACCGATAGTTTTATCTACTTACCACCCATAGATTGGATTTTCTACTTGTGGAGGCATGAGATGGAGGTCTTTACAATGCTGCTTGTCATAGTCCCGTGTCCCAGGTATGGCTCCAGTACAGAGTCTAAGAAACTCATTCCCCGTGAAGCAGTAGTGGGCAAACGCCAACCCTCCATCAACCATCTCAGACAGATTAGGCATTGAAACTGCTTTTGTGATGCTCCTCCCATTAGTATTGCTCAATTTTACATCATCTTTTTCAGAATCCAACACTCTATCCAGCTCCGAATACTGCATAAATCTCTGGGTGGCAGCTTCCCATGAGAGGTTATATCTTTGCTCTGGAGTAAGAGGCTGAGGTTCATTTGCTAATGCTTCCTTAACTCTTGCAACAAAGTCCTCAGACGTCTTGTAAGTCAAACAGTTGGGAAATGACCTGAAGTACTCATTTGATGGGTGGTCTGCACATACGACAAATTTCCCCATTGCAAGTGCCTCAGCAGTGGCTGTGCAGAGTACATCACTGACACTAGGATTTATGAAAATTTTGTACCTTCAAGCAGAGAAGAAAATATTAATAAACTACGGATAGTGAAAATACAGCCACAAGATTTACTAAAACTTAGCATCTTCAAGAAATAAGTAAAGTCTTTCAAAAAGAAACACAAATAGTTTAAGCAGCCACAAACACATGTTTCATTCACTACCAATCCCACAGCTGGAAAGTTTTCAGTAGGCTAGATCAGAAACGAAGCTCTACCTGATCATTACAATTTGTTCTTTTTTTTTTTTTTTTTTTTTGGAAGTTATATTTCTTGAGTCATTCATTAAATTGCAGAGATTATCTAGATGCTCCCCTTTCTTCCAATTTACAGTTTGCAGATATGATAAAAACCAAAAGACAGTTTCTATCAAATCCTTACCCATGAAGAGAATCATCTGCATGGTCTCTTCCTTTCAGAAAGTTCAGATTCAAATCCAATCTTTTGGCTGTACTCCGAACTTCATTTGCATCCTCTCCATTTCCGAAAACATCTAACTTGAAGCCATCCAGATCATACTTGTGCTTTGCCAACAAATCTATTAACTCCTTGTATCCCTTAGCCCATACCATCTTGCCTAAAAAATATGCTCCTTTTGAGAAGGCTTGCTGCCCAAGTTCCCTTTCAGCTGCAACTTTTTCCCCAATTTTCAAAAACTTTGGATTCACACCATGAACATTGCAAATGACAGACTTCGGTAAATGTTGGGTGGCACCAGAAAGGCGAAGAACCTGAAAAGTGAACATGAAATGATTTAATCCAAATAATGGGATGAACATTTCAATAATCAGCCAGTTATATGGTTAACACTACAATAGCAACAAAATTTTAGTGAACAGTCAGTGTGTCCAAGAAATTAGTCCATTTACCTTGTGGCAGTATGCTCGTGCGACCAAGTTGTTTATGTGTTTGACAAAGAAAGCTTGGAGAGCCCCATTCTTCTCCCTCTTAATGTATTCTAGATAATTTGTGTGTACAACACCAACAACATGATTGAACTTATCAGTCCAGCGCTTTCCATGGTGATACCAATTCAGGTGTTCTGGCTCTTCTAGGATGGCAATGTCAGCATCCTTTGATGGAATGAACTGGGAAGTATCTCCAGCGGGTATTATGCTTCTCCTTTCTTTTGCAAACTAGAAAACAATGAGAAGAAAATTGTCACTTATTCTTTTATACTTCAATACTATTAACAGGATGGTGCATATTTTAATAATCAAGCAGCTACCTTTCCGGGATAAAAGGAGATCTTAAAATCGGCTTTAAAGCCAATCCTTTCCTCAAGCCAGTTGCGTATATAATTCTCCTGCTCTTCTGGTGAAGTAAAAGTGAGATTGTTGGGATAAACTAACTCTTGATCTGACTTACAAAGCCATGGAACCAGCAGAGTAACATTTTGCTTTTCAGACTTCGCTAAATATGCTGCTCGAAAAAGTGGATTCACAGCTGTTCCAGTCATCCATGGAAGGCTAGCAGTTGTGACAATTGCAACATGCCTCTTCCCATCAGATGGGTGATGCTTCGATAAGTCAGTCCAAAAGCCTCCATCATAACAATGCCCTGTACTTTGAAGAACACTGGCTATTCTTACATCCAGTTCATCATTTGCACTCCCATCAAGGAGGGTCGATTCTCCTGAAGACAGTGAGGGCAACAAAAGTTGGTTCTTGCGATTGCTACACAAGCTCTCCACTATCTTGTCACAAACATCTGAATCATGATAAAAACATCACAAAACTCAAAAACTGTATAACGGTCAACCAATATACAATAAGAATGTTTGCTGGAAAGAGGAAAGGTTGAATCAGTACACATGAACAAATATTTGAAAGATGTGATACTATGTTAGTTTCCTGAACAACAGAGGATCGGCAACAATTATAACAGTAGTTTTTTACAACAGTCACCATTGACAAATGGATTTACATGCATTTTTCTTCAAGAGATGCAAATGGATGGTGTAACCTTCCACGTCTGGTACTATCAGTAGTAAATATCAACAAACTAGAGAAAATTATGAGGGCCTCCAATCGCATATATGAATATCACAAACTGAGTCTGATGTACCATAAAGAAAAAACTTCTCCCATCCATTCACTACCCTCCTCCCAGACATTCTACTCTCCCACAAACAGATAGACCCAGAACCTTTACTCCAATTTTTCTCACAAGACAACACTCTGAACTTTTTTAAGCATCAAGAATTATAATTTAGCATCCACAGTGGAACCAAATCATAACCATCATACTTGAATTGTATCCAAAAAATGTCCAGTTTTATCCAACAAAGTCGAACAATAACACTGGTAAAAAAATAATAATAATAATAATCTTAATCCGAAGAGGATTATTCAACAGCCTCTTTTGTATTTCATTGCTGTCTGGGAAAATGTAAATGGTTCGTAAATTTTCCACACATTAGAGCATGAAATAAATTTAGGTCATGCCTGCTGCATGAATATAAAGATTTCTTCAGGAACACAAAAGATGGACATTAAAGAATAGTCCAGCTAATGAAGCAGTATTGGCAAAAATATTTAATTCACAGGAGAGCAAGCATGCATATAATCATGCCTTGGCAACCCAATGCGTAAGTTCAGAAAATTATAGAACTCAAGTTGCTTACCTCTTCTAACACCAAGTTGATCCAAGAATGGCTCAGATTGCCTGACCAAATGTGCCAAAAGTTCAGGGACATCCAGTGGTGGTACTTCCTGCATCAGGCATGCACACGCAAACATTTGGCATATTCATTTTCCCCGTAAAGATCTCAAAAAAAAAAAAATAGTAATAATAACAATAAATAATTCTATTTATCTTTTTCCTGCATGAACAGTCAGAAGCCAGCCAGCTTGAGTACACTCTACATAATGGAGTCCTAGGATAAGAAGTGGTCAAGCTTAGCAAGGATCCAGCTTTCCAATCAGGCTCAAAATTGAGCCTGGCCAGTGTTAAAAAGGGGGGGAAGGGGTTGGGGCCGGCCGCCAAGCCTAATATTGTGCTCTTACAATTTCAAATCAAGAAGACACCATGAGCAGCAACCCTTGGAGCCTTCTGTATCTATTTGTTTTTATTTATAGGGGGGAGAAAAAAGGACTAAGTGTAGTATACCCTCCAGCACAGAAACTTCAAAATTGTTCACTAAGGCATGGGCAATCAACCTAAAATATTTTTATGTTTACAACCATTAAATGACATATAAAGAAAGATTGAATTTCAAAAGATGTAAACATACTACCTAGATAATTTTCCACAAGAATATTTTGGCAGCATAGACCATTAAATGACAGATATAGAAAGATTGAATTTCGAAAGATGTAAACATATTACATAGATAATTTTCCACAAGAATATTTTGGCAGCATAGATACTAAGTTCATTCCTCCTGGGTGGAGTGATGACACCAGAGCTACCACTAAAACTGTCCCCCCCACCCCCCCCAACAAGATAGATAATTTGATTCTAAACTGTCCGAGTATTTTACCACAGGTTTAAGTGGTCTCAACATCAATTGCTTCCAAGTCCAAGGTCACAAAATTCAGATAGGAAACTGATTTTCAGATGCTAATGGACTTGCGCAATTCATTGTCACTTGAGCTTTGTTCTAATTGAATGCGAAACTAGAACGAGTCTCGCTGTCTGGAGAACATGTCAGCAATTAGATTTAATGCAAAAGACTATACAGGTAGACATCTAACCATTGACTCCTGAGGCTCCTTGCGGATTGCTTTCTGCAAAAATGTGGACAGATACATTGTTAAAAGAACGAATACAGCTCATCAAATGAATATATTATGAAAGCAAAATATGAACTGATGATTTCAAACCACGATATTGTGCAGTAAGTGCAAGATTTACCAAGCTAAGTATCAAACATCAAGACAAGGGAGAATATTTTGGTGTATATTTGCACTCAAAGGTCAATCTAATTTCATTTGATAGAAGGAGTGTCTCCATGAGGATCAACACATGCCCTTAAGATTTGAAAGCAAGCCCTGCATCTATGTCAACCTGACCCTGACTACCATATTCATGTCAGATATGCTTACATGAATTCCTCCTAACTGGGAACTGAACACTCCACAATAAGCGAAAATCCCATAACGATTAACAAATCTGAAACTCGAACAAGCACAACAAACCAGACAGAGGTGCACATGTCAATAGCTCTTCATAGAAGAACTAACAGCAGCATGAACAATAAACTTGAATATTTACGCAATGAAAATAGGATCCCCATATTAACCTTCCAAATGTCCAAATGCTATTAGGGAAACCATAGCATCGGCCTTTTTCTCATTGCTTAAAGATCAACTCAATCATTCCTCGCATATTTCAGCTTACACAAATCCCACCATATTTCAGCTTACACAAGGCCATTACATTCCGCCTCGCCTGCTTCAAATATTTTAGCAAAAGTTTCTCCTAAAGCTAATGTTTCAGAAATGACCTTCCAATTTGTTGTTTAACCATCTTAAACGATAAAAAATGATAACCAATAAACATTTGAGTAGTGTTACATGAAGTCATCTAGCTTTGTCCATCTAACAAATAACCAAATAAAGAGACCAATAAAACTCATCAACCAAAAAACCTACTCCAGACTAAATTCCGAAATTCCAAAGTCTCATAAAAGCACTAAAACTCAAAATCCTATAAAAAAAATTCCTCAACTTCTCGTCTAAACAGTTAAATAAACCAAAGCACGAATAAGAACAAAATAATAGTAATAACAGAAAAACATACCAAGCTAGACTTCAGTTTCTCCACAAACTCAATATTCTTAAACACACCAAATATCTCACCGAACTCACTTTTCTTCTCCAGTTCCCGCAACCTCCTTTTCAAAACCCGTATTGGCTCCCATTCCCCAAATTGCCCTCCTCCTTCCTCCTTCCCCTCTCCCCAGAACTCCCTAAACCCCAATTTCCTCCTCCTATCAAACCCCACAACCCCACCCCTGTTCTCCTCAACCTCCGCGACAATTGCATTCTTTATAGCCGACAAATCAATCCCTAACTTCGCTCTTGGTCCCCACTTCTCTAAAACCTTCTTACTTATCTCAGGCGCCGAATAAACTCTCCGAATTTCGGAAAATTTTGGCTGCAACTTCTTCACAAAATCGATTTCTGTAGGTGAATAAGAGGATTTGAGCGGTGAAGGTACAGAGAAAGATGCAATTGAAGCTGAATTAAAGAAGTTTTCGATTTCGCGATCGAATGAGTTAGCTAAATTCTTGAATGAGTTGGCTCGTGCTCTCATGAGTTGAAGATCCGCGCCAGCGGAGTCACGGACTTCTTTCCACCCTCGTGAGATTAAAGAGAAAGCCGTGTTGTTGCTGTTGGTTCTCGTTGAAGTTGAAGTTGTTTCCATGGTTCAATTTGTGTAACTAGGGTTTCTTAATTTGTGAAATTTTGGGAGTTTGTTTGGGTTGCAGAGATCGTTTTTTGGTGGAAGAGAAACAAGGAAGATACAGAAGAAGGCGCATAGAATTGGAGAAGGAGAGGGTTTCTTTTTTTAATTGTTTCTGACGGTTAAGAATTAGGACTGTGTTTTTAATTTGGTGAAACTACATATCAGTTGCCCAACTATACATGTTATTTCGATTTCACCCTTGAGGTTTGTTAGTGAGGAGAGAAATTGGAGAGGATTAATGAAAATAGACGGATGAGATTATTTTCTTGCTTGGCACCCGATGGATTGATCCCTAGTTATGGAAAGAAAGGATTTTTATTGTTTGCTATCTTTGTTCAGTTTATAAATTGTGTAAATTTATTTCAATCTAATTTTATGTTAGTCATAGATAAATCATTTTTCTTCTCTATTTTTTTTATTTTATCCATTTCATTTACATTTATTTATTTATTATTTTATGTATTTTATCATCATTTATTCACCCTTTTTCGACAAGCATACTCTTTCAAATAAAATGTTTTTTTAAATTAATAAAATTACTTTTTAAAGTAGGTTTTTTCATATACCTATTTAAATATTGTTCTTAAAATGTGGATCAAATGATGAATTGGTGTTTTATCGTGCTATCATTTCATTCCATATATGATTTTACAAAAGAAAGTAAAAAAGAAATATAATATGAGTTGTAAATGTATTAATTTATAAGTAGATGGCTTGTCCAATGCCTAATAAATATATAAAAAAAATTATGTTTTCATATGCATAAATTAATTCAAAAATATTTTAATAATAGAAAGAATCTTATAACCACTTTCTAATATCAAATTTTAATTTGCAAACAAATAAAACTATGCATATCCAATTGTTTTCGTCATTTTATTTAATAAAATTATCTTTTAAAGTTATTCAGACATACATATTTTATTTCTTTCAGTTATAATTAGGATTTTGCTCTATAAAGTTTTAATGAGTACATATAAACTTGAGAAGAACAAAAGATGTAATATTTGATAATTATAGGAATGGTATTTTTTTAGTTGTGAGAGGGTAAAAATTGTTCGATTTTGAAACTACATACTCAAATGAAAGCATCTATATAATTGGGATACTAATTTGTAATTTCCGCTTTTATTTTCCATAAGGTTCTGGAAGGATACACGTGGGTGGACATGTAGGATTCTAGAGATGGGGAGTTTTTGATGGGTGATGACGTGGTTGAGTCACCTGGGAAGGTGAGGTGGCAGGGAGAGATTGGATGGGTAGATTCTTATGCCAATGGCACATACGAATATTCTGAAGTAAAGGATATGCTGCACTGAGTTTTGTATTCGTGAATCGTGTGTGAAGGTGCATGGAGGTTGATGTGTTTGCACCCCCAGATTAGCCTCGTGACCATATTAAGTTAACTTTATGAGCTGCAGGGTGCCTTTCTTATTTTTTATGCTTAATTTAAAAATTAATCACTAGTATTGTAAAGATAATTCATGTAACCTTACATGTTGTAAGTAAATTTCTTTTTTCTATCGTTACTAAGACAAAAAATTGGAGCTCAAGTTTTTATAAAAAGACAAGTCCAATATAAATGCATGTGACTGCCAATTAAAAAAAATTAATTTTTAACGTCAAATTAAAATTAGTCTCAAAATCTCATACTCACTAAAAATTGTCTTCATTCCAAATTCAAAATATTGAACAGCATATGCAATGCACATATCTGCTACAAGAATGTCAAAACATATATATATATACATATATAAACATTTTGTTTTATGAACGTGGAATAACTACCCTAAATGTTTAGGAAAAGTTTTAAAATCTTAATAAAACTCATATTTTTGTGTTTTTATTTCTGATTTAGGCTAACAAGTGATGAATTTAATTTCGATTAATGCAAAAATTAACATGAAAATACTATATATATATATATATATACACACACACACACACACACACACACACACACACACACACTTAGGTGATGAGAACACCCTTCAACCCTATTTTTCAAATATTATACTTTACACTCTAAGATTTTAATATGCATATCGGAAACCATTTTGTATTATAATTCTGTTTACAGTTTCAAAATTTCTAGTTAAAAAAAGTCCAAATATTTACAAGTTTGTTATTATTTTTTTAAAATGACCACAATGCTCCTTGGAAGTATTTTAGTCTTAACAACGACAAAAAAATAATTGTTTGAGAATGTAAAATGATAATTTTTTTTACCATTGGAAGTAGTTTATAAAATGCAAAAAAAAAAAAAAAAAAAAAAAATCAAACACTTAACATATGAAAATTTAAACATCCAATATCAAAAACCCAATTCAAATTATCCAAACTCATATCAAAACATCAAAAACTTCAAAGTCTATTCGAATCAAAAACCCTCATTATTTTTCAATGCCAAAATCTTTCTACAATAATGAAATCTCGTCCTCTAACACCATTTATCAACAAAGCTTACATGGATTAAAATTCAAGAACATTTGATGCAACACATGCAATAATTTTATCTCTCGTAAGGATTTTAGAAACTAAAAGAAGCAAAAATAAATTATTCTACAAGGATGATGACAAGTATTGTGAGAATTCATTCATTAATTGATGTGAACCTATAAATAATGTCGGTTAAGAAAACAATGAAGTACACAAAGTTAATATTCAACCTATTATGGATGAAATCCACGAGATGAGAGATGAAATGAAAAGATTTTGAATGAAACTTCATTTATTGGAAGGCGATACTACAAGCTTCAAATATATTTTAGTAGCTAATATAATATGTACAAGTATTAATGTATGTATTAATATTAGTGTTACTAGTGAGTAAGTAGTTTGACTAAGTATTATATTGTTACAAACCAATATGATTGTCATTACTAAAAAAAAAAATGCTTATGTATGCTCTCCAATTTAGGCATAACATAATCACAAAACCCCACTACTTTTTTCGCCCAACCCTTACTATTTCTTTTGCCCCCAACCCCAACTCGTCCGAATCTCAACTCTCACTATCCAAACCCCCAACCCTACCCCTACCGTCCAAAACCCTAACCCCAACTATACAAAACCCCCTAACCCTACCCTCGTTGTCCGAACCCCAACCTCAACCGTCCGAACCCCCTATCCCCAATTGTCGAGAACCTCTAACCCTCGCCGTCTAAAACCTCTTAACCCCAACTCTCATTGTCTAGAACCTTAACCCTAGCCGTCCACCTCCCACTCGTTCATAAAACCACACCAACAAATAAACCTCCATTATTTAAGATGCCCACCCACACCAACAAACAAATCTCCGATGTCCAACAAGCCACTAATGTCCAACAAACCATAAGTAACCATCGTTAACAAACCACATGCAACACAAAGCATAACATTAATGTAAACAAAAAAATGATAATTTAATACTTGAAAATGTCACTACATATATTGGTGCATACCCACACTAGTTATAAAAAATAACAAAATAGAGTATTTAAACTTATGTGTGTCTTAGTAAATATAGGTATTTAAACCAACGTGTGTCAAAAAAGTTATTACCTACATAAAAAGAACAATTAATAGATACCCCAAAAGTAATGTATATAGCATCGGTATTCGACCTATTTAGTGGTTGCCACTAGCTTGATTCCTTTCTCGTTTATTACGTTAACCAAATTAAAATAAAGTATTAAAATATTAAAGAATACAACATAATTAAATTTTAATAACAATTGATCATTCATTACCTTATACATAGAAGAAGTCATTTCAACCATCTATGAGTCGCCTCTAACATTATCATCATCTCTTTTAGCATGATGTACTCTCCTACCACCCTTATTACCTCTTTTTCGATACTATCTCTATTTCCACCATTTTGAATTCCTAAACTTTTGTCAATAATTTATTTTCCATCACGTTAAAAGTTGTTTAAATTGCCACCAAATCAAGTAACAAACAAATAATTAATGTTCATAAAAATACTAACCAAAACTATACAACAATAAAAGTGACATTAAATTGAAATAAGCAAATCAAAAAAGCCTAACTCACCCCTTTTAACTCGCTCAACAAGTATCCCTTTAGGAGTTTTTGAATTATTACCAAACTGTTCACATATGTTGTATGTAACAATGCTTGACCTCTTCCTCATAATGCTAAGGGCTTCTTCGTCTTTCTTTTCAATTCTTTCTTGGTTCACTAACACCTTTTTAGGACAAGAGATGAGATAATAAGCTCTCCTTCTTCGAGCAAAGGGTGAACCACTTCGAATAAGTGTTGATAAAATTAGGAACCATAAAGCAATTATTACAATAATTTTCTAAGTCACTTCTTTGTAAGATAAACAAACTGCTACATGCCAACATGGGATCCTAGTCATACTCGTTCACCACAAGAACATTTAGATTTCTTAAAGTTGAAATGGATACATCATAAATCATCATAACCTTGATACTCATTTACACTAGCTGGTTTTATTCTTACTCCTTGCCTTATCGACTTCTTTGACGAGAACCCCTCATAAATGGAGTAATCTCGATATATCAAGATATTCTTTTCACAAATCGTGCATGGAACCTTGACATTTGTTATTACCTAATGTTTTACCTCTTATTTAATTTTTTTTTCAATTATTGACAAAGAAAAAAGAAATTAAAAGAAAAAAAGCGTGTAATTAAAAATGAATGGTTAAAATTATTTTTGGAGGGTCCAATTAAAAAAAATAGGAAGTTTGAGAACCAAGAAAAACTTAATTGAGAGTATAATTAAAAGGTCAAAAACCTTAAATCCTTAGATAAAGAAAAGAAGGATACAATTTGAAGAAATTTAATAGAAGAGGTCATGATGCCATTGAAGTTTAAATAATCAAAATCGCCCATAAATTGATGAATTAGAATGAATCATGGACCAAAATTTATCTTTATCAAAAAAACCCCTAAAATCCATCTATAAATACCTTGTCTCTTATTTTT